AAATAAATATAGTTTAAAAAACTAAAAAAACACGCTTTTAAAGTACATCGAACTAAAAAGTTAAAAATAATTTTTAAAATAATTATGAACAAAAAATACTAGTATTATTGTGATAAAAGCGTGGGTGCTTTGTGCCATATTTTTCGTATATTGAGCGCCCGACGCTTTTATCACAATAATACTAGTATTTTTTGTTCATAATTATTTTAAAAATTATTTTTAACTTTTTAGTTTCTAGTTATGATAGTAGTTACTATCAATATCATGGTTGTAACGGGTAACGGGAATACAGGGTTCGATTCCGGGGAGGGAGTCTGAGAAATGGCTGCCACATCCAAGGAAAGAAGCAGGCGCGTAAATTACTCACTCCCGGAACGTGGAAGTAGTGACGAAAAATGACGATATGGAAATCATCCCTCGTAATCGGAATGAATACTTTATATCTCTTAATTAGAATAAATCGTGTTAATATATTAATTTTAATAGTAATTAGAATATATATATTTANCATTTTAATAGTAATTATAATATATGAAGAGTGAATGTGTCAAACGTTCTATGTGCCAAAAACATATTTGTTCAGAAAACACAAAAAACAATGGTAACATGGACATGTCTCACACAACGAACACCATCTATGAATGCAATTTTGTACAAGTAAAAAATTTAATTGACATTTGAAACACATACAAAATTGTGGCCTTTGGCACATAGAACATAAATGAGAAGTAAAACAATTTTTCACTTTTTTGGCACATAGAACGTTTGACACATTCACTCTTCATGTATATACAAATAATGCGACTTAAGTACGTAAACGTATCATGCACTAGGTATAGCTGTGTTTTGTGGGCGGGCGGGTCGGACTAACGTTATACCTGAGGTATAAACGGCGGTAGGAATATATATATATATACGTAAGGCGCATTAGACGCGGGCGTTATTGGTCAGTCAAAATAAAAATTTGTTTACATATATATAATATTGATGACAAGCACGCGTGTACGGNATATTAATGACAAGCACGTGTGTACGGGTACGATAACTAAAAATAAATTTTTATAGGAATAGTGTGTCGTTGTGTGGTGAGTGAGGCGTGGGGTGGGGTGAATGCGTTATGACAGTCTAGTCTCAAGGCCATAGACGACGGAATATGCGATAACGCGTGGCGCTTGGAGAGTTACAAACATACATACATACATACAGGTGAAACTAATATAAGCGTGTTAAAATAGGTCTCTTCTCTCGTATATTTCAAAATTTTCTTGTATGCAATTACAGGTCTATTCTTGAATGAATATTGTTCTAAAAACTGACATATTATGTATCTCTAGTCTCATTTATTTAAAATTTTACTCATTGTGTCAACGCTGTTTCCTATGATTACAATAAATCTTGTGCACAAAATCGAAAATTGTGAAACACTTTATTTAATTTACGAAGGTATTTTATTTAATTTTAAAATGAATAAATCAAGTGTTATTTGGGATTTTTTTTTCAACTTGAAGCAGTTAATATTCATGTAAAGTGTGGACTTTGTCGTTTAAAATTAAAAAATAATTATTCTTCGACTTCAAATTTAATTAGACATATTAAATCTAAGCATCCATTAGTAAATTTATTAAATAGACTCATGTAATAGAAGAGACGATTGATGACCCAAATGTTACTCCATCAACTTCTACTTCTGTAAGTTAAATCTATATATCACAATTCGCATGATTCAGAATTTATTGATAAGACGTTTTAAATTAAATTAAATTCTTAGTAGTCCACACTGAGTCATTGAGTCACAGTACCGTGGCACATTGATTCAGCTCATTCAGTTCACCTAAAAGAGTCAACTCTTTGAGTTGACTCACTTACGAACTACCCATCCTTATCTGTGATATAACTAATTGTATTAGTATGTGACTGTGGTTGAGAATCATGTATTATAATAATATCTAAATATATATTAATATAATTTTTTTTTTAAATTATTATTAGTTTTAACTTTACTATATTGGTATAAATCTTATTTTTAACTACAGATCTTCTTAAATTCAACGCTAGATTTAGAAGTTTAAAGGTTCTGGGCTCATCTAATAAATTCTCAATACTTTTTTTTTTTAGAATTTATTTCTTTATTTCGTTTGGTAATATTAGCGATATGTTTTTAACTCAGAAATTTGAACCTCTCCATAATCTGAGCCGTATACCTTGCTATTTGATTATAAAAAATGGTTTTCAACTCTATAATTCATATGGCTAAATATTTTAGTGCCATCTGGGTCACGAACACCCAGTTCTCCCACTAGATGCAGTCCTGTGTAAGATCTCAAAAATTATTGTTCTGAGTTTTATTTATATTCACTTAAAGGTTTCTAGTATTGTATTATTTTATTTTCCTATCACATAAATGACCTTATCACTTAGTGACGTTACCTCTAATAATATTATCATATTTTGCCAGTTTATACAAGTTTAATAATAAATTCTTCAGTGGGCCAAGATCCCAATTAGTTAAATCATTCTTTTTTTAAATATTTCTATTACCTTCATAATAATAAGTTCTTTGTAATTATTTACTTTTTATTTTTTTAAGCTTAGTCGTTTTTTTAGTTTTAGTTATTAGTGAGGTGGACATTATGCCCATGAACTCAGACCTGTTGGTTCATTGCGCACACCTAATACAAATGTCTTAATTCGGTTAACATACCTAAGTGTTATCACCGTAGTGTTAATACATTATACCTATCATTGTGTAGGGTAGACTATCAAGTCACCCCCTTTGGGTAACCATAGAGTTCTGTCTTTCTGGCGAAATTAAGTATTTCTCTGAGTCTTAGGTTTTTGATATCTTCTTTTTCAGGAAAAGATTTATTCAAGTAGTTTGATTTTAGTGTAGATAAGGCTTCACATTCGTATATTATATGAAATGAGTTTTCCTCTTCTACTCCACACTTCCAGCACAATAGTGCAACCTATGATCTTGTACAGTGCCTAAGTTTGGTCGACCTGCTGGTACACAAGAAAAGAAAGGTATCTTAAGTGATAGTCAAGCGGCTCTGAAAGCACTCTGTAACGATCAGGTGAATTTAAAGCTTGTCCTTGAATGCAGGGAAATTTTAGAATCATTATCGTGTTTCAACAAAGTTACACTAGCGTGGGTACCAGGACACAACAGATTCACTGGAAATGTAAAAGCTAACTTTCTAGCTAGGAAAGGAGCAGAGAATGTTGGATCAGAACCAGTGTTAGGACTCACTCTGCAATCACTCAAAGCGCTACCCAAGAATTGGTGCAAAGAACAACATATAAAAATCTGGAAGTAGTTGGTAGTATCTAGTATAGTAAAAAGCTGAGAAGTTATTAAATAACTTCGGTATTAGTATAATATAAGTTTTTAACACATTAGTAAGCAATTTTTAAATTCTTAAGTAATATAATAATGTCATATAAAGGGAATATGCAGGATAAACAAATTAATATAGTGGAAAAAAGAATATATAAAGATAAACAAGAAATGTAATGGTGGATTGACGTTTAGTGGGTGATGCAGGGAGGGGTCCAGCTCTCTCTATTTTATCATACTGATATATATTAATGGTCGTTGGGCATCTTTAGTATTTAGTGCGAAATGCTTCAGATTTTGTATTATTATTATTACCCGAATATTATTTAACTCTGCGTTGTTATAATTTATTTATTGATATTAGTTGCGCAGGTTGATTGTGCGTTGTTATGCACTTATACATTTTTTTTGTTAATTTTTTTTATGCTTCGTTATACAAATTTATATTTATTATTTTCAATTATTTATCGTGAATTTCTGTGTTACAACAACTGTTGTTAATATATAATAATTAATTTACGTTATTTTTGGCGACGTGAGATTATAAATTAGGGGTGTAGTTTTATTTTCGCTCCAAAATTTTATTTTGCGATGTCGGATCAGCCGGACAATGAACGCATCAATCGATTAAAAAGAAAGGTGATTCTCAAACGCGTTGATTTATGCGATGGCAACTCGCTGTCTGGATACTAGTTAACATCTACCCCAAATAGCGATTTCTAATTGAAATTGATCAAATATGGACTGCTTTTACTGCAGAAAATAATACTATAATTGACTGTTTAATTGATCTTGGCTTAGAATCCGAATATACTCATAACTTAACGGTTGAATTACGGGAAATGATCGCTTTCGCCAGGTTGGGTTTATCAATTGGTACCATGATGATAAAAAAAGTTTAATCTCGGCCCATCGAGAATCTCGTATGTCGCTGCATACAACATGTACACAGTGATTATCAGCCTGTAGAACAGGGTCACCAACTAATACTTTCCGTGGGCCACATTAAGAATTCGGAAAATTCTCGCGGGCCATAAAAATTCAAAGTACATAATATTTATTATAATATGCCGATTGGCCAAAACTATTTTATTTCTAAAAAAAATACATTCACTTATTATGAAACTAAAACTAATGAAAATATAATAATATAATTATAATGATAATAATAATTATAATAATATTATATGAAAATATAATATAATAATTACATTTAACAAATATGTGAAACAATCATAAATCAATATTTTTAATGAGAAAAATGGCAGATCTTACTCTCAACTAGATGCTTTAAGTTGGGGCTGTGATTTGTGGTCGCTATCTTCATCATCATTTCAAGGTGTTCGTTGGTAAGTCGGGATCGGAATTTGTTTTTGATATAATTCATTTTTGAAAAAGCTGACTCACAGACGTATGTGGAGCCAAACATAGTGCACATTTTCACTACCAACAATTTCATCGTTGGGTATTTTTTTTCAGATACATATTTCAACCAAAATTCATCATAATATGTTGAGTCAATTTCAGTTTTTGAATACTTTTCATTATACAAATTTTTTAAAACTTCATCTGATTGAAATTCAATTATTTCCATTTGAAGATATGCTTTGTTGCATTTGAAAACGTTTACTGCTTCGTTAATCCATTCTCCGTCAGGTTGTAAAGTAAAACTACTGTTCAATAGTTGTATAACGTTTTGGATTTTTCTGAAATCTGCAAAGCGTCTTTCGAATTCTATTTTTAAACTTGCCATAAACTTCGTAAAATTTCTGATATCAACCTCATCTTTTTCATCACAAACTTTTTTCAAGTTGGGAAAATGTAAACGTTCATTACCAACATCTTGCATAAAAAAATCAATTTTTCTACAAAAACAATTTGCCTCTGAAACTAAATGGCAAATTAGTTTCTGCTTACCTTGAAGTTTCAAGTTGAAAGAATTTATGTGTTGAAATATATCTACCAAAAACGCAATAGTCGCTACGTTACTATTATCACTGATAAATGTGTGATAGTCTTTGGCAGTCAAATGTGTACTCTGGATTAAAAATTGTTCAATTTCATTCAGTAAGTTAAAAAACCTTTGCAAAACATTTCCTTTGATCAGCCATCTCACATTATTATGAAGTCATAAATCGTCAAACTGACTATCATTTTCTCGAAGAAGTGCCTTAAATAATCTGTGCTGGAGTGAAGATTTTGCACGTATAAAATTGACAATACTCATTACTTTTTTCATAATTTCTTCCAAACACGGATCCAGTTTGCAGCAAAGGACGCTTTGATGAATAATACAATGGTACGATAAAAGATCAGGGTTGCATTTAGGATCGTTTTTTAATCTTTGAACAAAGCCTTGATGAGTGCCAATCATCGCTGGTGCACCATCAGTTGTAACAGAGATAATTTTTTTCAAATTTAAATTTTCTGTTTCAAAATACAATACTACAGAATTGTACAAATCATTTCCTTTGCTGGTCCCTGATAACGACAAAAGTGTCAACAACTCTTCGTAAAATTTCCCACTGGTATTGTTCAGGTATCTCACGTGAATTATAAGCTGAGATGCATCTGTGATATCACAAGATTCATCCAAGGCCAAAGAATAAAAATCAGCTGTAGATAGATCTTGTTTCAACTGAATGTGATTATCTTTGGCCAGTATTTCGGTATTTCTCGTGTTAGTGGATGCTGATATGGGGATATGACGAAAAGTTTCGACAATTTCCTTTTTATTTTCAAACAGTAGACTTACAGATTGAAGCATGCATTCTTTAACAATATCAGCATCTGTAAATGGCTTCATATGTTTACCAAGTGTCCACGAAATTTGTAAAGAAACTTGAGCACATTTTTGTTGTTCAGTCATTGCGTGGCTCAAAATTTGAGTTGCCGATTTATATTTCATTTGTAGATTTTCAATTTTTGTTTTACGAAGGTCAGTACCCAATGGGGATTTTTCGGCAAATGACTTGTGTGTCTCATAATGACGTTTGATATTAAACAGTTTCATAACAGCCACTGTTTGGTGACAAATCAAACACACCGGCTTGGCACCTACCCTACTTGGTAAAATAAAACAATATAAGTCCATCCACTCAGGACAAAACTGTCTATTTTCAATCTCTACTTTTCTTATTTTTCTATCCATATTCAAATGAAAACAAAGAATAATAAACGAAACGGACGAACAAAAATAACGTCGTAGCGGACACCACCGTCTCACTGATAACTGACGGACTGACACTGAAGAATTGGTATTGACGAGTTGTACGTGTATTAAAAGTATGTGACTTAATGTGTTATAAAATTACTCGTCAATAAAATTTCATATAAATAATAAAACAGATAAGATAAGATATGCTTCACAGCTAGTATAATATTTGTTGCAGTTGAAAAAACCCAATAATGTACAAAGATTAGAAATTATCGGCTTTTTTTTTTTTTTGTCTGCGGGCCGGTTAATATTCATCCGCGGGCCGGATGTGGCCCGCGGGCCGCCATTTGGTGACCCCTGCTGTAGAACATCGTAATCATAATGCGCACGTAGTTGTTCCGGAGACTACTGCAATAGGGAGACTTGAACCGCCGTCGAGTAATAATAGTTTACACAGAGTTCGGCCAGCGCAGCGTTTACCTGATTACCAGACATACTATTGCCGCCTACCTTTTATGGAGATATTTTTAAATGGATGTTATTATATGATCGTTTTATCACTACTATGAACCAGAGCACTAATATTACGGACATAGAAAAGTTCAATATTTAGCCGGGTGTTTAAAAGGTAGTGCGTCAGAGGCAATAAACGGAATACTAGTTTCTGGTAACAACTATAAACTTGCGTGGGTTAAGTGGAAGTTGTGTTTCTAGTGCGGTGAACAACTAGCCGTCCTACGGACTAGCTGCCTCGTACAAAACAATTATTATAATATTATGGACTACAAATGACTGTGTTTTTATAATTTTTAATAATGCTAATACGGGAATTCAATACAATTATAACTAATGTATGTATATCTTTATTTTTATAACAGACCATTGTAAAATAAATAAAATAGTTTTATTTTAATAGAAAACATTTTCATGATATGTGTTTATGGCCATAGTTACTACGGCAAGAGTATATAATATAAACACTATTCGAGCGTCAGAGGCAATAAACGGAATACTAGTTTCTGGTAACAACTATAAACTTGCGTGGGTTAAGTGGAAGTTGTGTTTCTAGTGCGGTGAACAACTAGCCGTCCTACGGACTAGCTGCCTCGTACAAAACAATTATTATAATATTATGGACTACAAATGACTGTGTTTTTATAATTTTTAATAATGCTAATACGGGAATTCAATACAATTATAACTAATGTATGTATATCTTTATTTTTATAACAGACCATTGTAAAATAAATAAAATAGTTTTATTTTAATAGAAAACATTTTCATGATATGTGTTTATGGCCATAGTTACTACGGCAAGAGTATATAATATAAACACTATTCGAGTGGTTTAATGAATTTTATTATTTTCATGATTATTTAATTATTTATAATTGATTATGTACATAGGTTATAAATTTAGCAGAAAGTAACTAATTTATTAGAATGTGTACATCTCAGGGTAAAAAATTATATTAATATACAATTTTAATCTAAATATTCAATTTCTATAATTTAAATACTTTTAATCCCAGTAAATTGAATTTTTGAAACACCAGTAGGGTAAAATAGAGAGAGCTGGGGCCCCCGTCTTACTTTTTCACCATCCTAACGATGGTGGTGGAGGAGATTAAATCCGACATAAACTAATCTAATACAATGGGATGAAGAACGATGAAACCTTTTTTTTTTAAGTGAAACTTCTTTATAGAGGGTCCGAAAAAATAAAAGATTATCGAGCGTCACGGTCGTTATAATAATCGGCAACGGTCGCGTCAAGGTCAGCTGTGTAGTATATTTAATATTATAATTTAGCACTATATTTTTGAAAATTAAAGTTATTATATTTAAAATGTATTGATTCAAAATATCGCGCGTTGTTTAAATATGTTAAAGTCATCATTATCGATGAAATAAGCATGATAGGCAGTGAATTGTTAATCAAAATAAACTAACGTCTGCAGCAAATCACAGGCAATTTCAAGGAAAATTTTGGAGGATTGGATGTTATTTCCATTGGTGACTTGCGTCAACTACCACCAGTTCGAGTGACTTTAATCTATCTGCCGCCAAAAAGAAATATTTTTGAACCAATTTTATGGAGGGGCCTCCATTTTTATGAGCTAGACCAAGTTATGAGACGGGCTAATGTACCATTCGCATCTATCCTGACTAAAATTGGCAATGGTGATAGGCTTGATGATCATGAACTGACTCTAATACAATCACGATTTTTTCCTAAAGCTGAAGTTGATATACTTTGTCCAACTGGAATTCGCATATTTAACACGAACCACTCAGTTAATGAGTACAACCACTAGATTTTAAGCGCTGCCAGAGAAAAGGTTGTTTCAACAGCAAAATATATTTACATTGGTTGTTCATCTGTAAATCAGGAAGCTCTCTTGCGGCAAAAAGTCCATAATATGTCACTCATCGATACAGGTGGGTTACCATATGAAACAATATTTGTCAAAAATATGCATTATTTGATAACAACCAATATTAACGTATCTGACGGTTTTGCAAATGGTGAGGTGGGGAAGCTAGTTCATCTTGAACGAAATGAAGCAGGGGAAGTGACTGTTGTGTGGCTCGATTTTCCTCATTGTTCGAATATCGGAAATAAAATTAAAAGAAAAGTTACTAGTCATATGACCGCTAGAACATTAACCGAAGAGCAGTTCCAATCTCTAGAAGATCATCTACCATCAATTTGAATCAAAGCAAAACCATCTGTGTTAAGCGTTCTCACTTGCCTGTAATCTGTGCTTGTGCAACGACTATTCATAAATCGCGCAAGGAAGCACGTATGCTGAAGTGGTGTATGAATGCGACAAAAGACACGCGCAATCGTTGCTATATGTAGCTTTGTCACGAGTTACTGATCTTCGCAGACTGTTCATTATTACTAAAAATGATAAAGATTTGACGTTTTATCATGGAAGGAAAACATCTGATTCCACGAAGCGCCTTCGTGATGAATTTACAAGACTTTCCACTCACTCTTTAGTCATAATTGACAGACAAATAAACGATTTTATAAAGGACCAATCGAGAATGTCAATTTATAGTTTAAATTGTAAAAGTCTCCAAGCTCATTCATTAGAAATCTTTGATACAATCCTTTAAAATTCGAAAATGTTAATTTTTTTTCGAGACTTGGAAACATGAAAACGAGAATACTATAATCCCTAATTTTAGTTGTATCATTAAATATAAACGACCAAACGTCAGATTTGCAGGAGTATCTATTTATCATCGTAATAATGATATAGTCAATATTGTCACTATGACAATAGGACAATCACAGTTATTTAGTTCAAGAAGTACTCCAGTTGGTGATTTTTGTGTTGCTGAGTGTTTAAGACAAAAATCATCACCATTGTAGCAGTTTATATCTCACCAAATCAAAAAATATATGATACAGTTTATTTTTTTAATAGATCGCTGCTTACCTTTACTACCGAAGGTGCAGCATTACTCGGAAGGGGAGAAGATAAATTGCCTATGATACTGAGTCGAGAATTTAATGTTAATTTTGTATCAGATAGATCAGAACCATACAAAAAAATGTTGCGTGAAAATCTCAATGTATCAATGAATAATGATCAAAAAACTCTAACAACTTGATCAGGAACCACAACATATTCAATTTTTAGTCAATATATTATGTTAAGGAAAAGATGATGATGAATGAAGTTACACCGGATGAAGTTTTACTTGGCGTCGAGCCGTTTAATAAAAGAAGTGAAAAGAGAGTTGCGACACAAAAATAATATGCGAACAAATGATAAATAATAACACTAGTATTACTGTGAAATAACCGTTGACAAGAAAACAATAAAAGTTAATCGAAACACGGTGGCGTTTTCTGGTTGATCCGGTGGACGGCGTATCACAGTGTCAAAGGTGTCCCGAAGAAGACTGACTCGACGTATTATTGCGGCGGGGTATACGACGCTAGGCATTTGTTGGACTTTACACCACGACGATAACGCGTGTGTGTGACGGTCCGGTTTACAGTTAAGCGGTGGCTGAGAAGGAGCTGACACGACCGCGGGGTGTCAACGTGTGACAACGCCGTGGCCGTGTCAAATACCCCCCCACCAAGCCGCCGCTGTACTCTAGAAATCAAATGAAATAGCGCATATGGCGTTCCGTGTTTGGTCGAATATATTAGAGTGCGCATAGCGCAATAACAAGCCGCAATACTTACGTTGTATGTTTGATGGAGTGGGTGGTAGTGCCCCGCGGAGTGCGCGCAGCAGGGAGGGGGTTAGGGGTATAGACCCCGCGCGTAACGCGCTTGGGGTGGGAGGGAGCTCTTACTCGGCCGGGGGCTCCGGCTGTGCTGGGGAGGTGGGGCAGGAGAGGAACAGGTCCATCTCTCGAACCAGGCCGTCGTCCTCTAGCTCCATAGGCGTCTCCGCCTGTGCTGGTGTCGTTGTTGGTGTTGACGCCGCCAGCACCCCGTCCACATACATGCCCGACGGCCGGCTGACAATAGCTGTTGTCACTGCTGGGGCTGCTGCTGATGTTGTCGGTGTTGTTGGTGTCGTTGGTGGTGATGTTGTAGTTGTCCGCAGTGTTGCGGTCGGGTTTATGGGCGGTGTAGGGTCCCCACCGACGACGACCCCCCAACGTCGAAGCATATACTCCTTGTACTTCTTCGTCCGGCGTTCCCGCTCGGACGGAGAGTAGTACCGAGGAGTTTTGCTAGTCGTAGGGGTAGGCGTCGCTGCGGACCCTCCACTGCCCCTGGCGTATGGATGCTTCGGGCGACGTGACGTGGGTGGGGCGCTGTCTGGCCGCGTGGCGCGGAAAGACAGTAGAGGCCGAGGGGAGGGGGCCACCCGCGTATTGCTTGTGGACGCCTCCCCTGGGCGGGAGAAGTGTTGGGACGCCACATTTATCACCCGACGAGGTTTGGGAGAAGGGGGAGCTTGGACTCCCGGGGCGGACGGGGAGGCGCGGGGGAGTGAGTTTAGCGCGATTTGTATTTCGCGCCTCACCTCCTCGCGACCCGCCCGCACGCCCCGTTCGAAGTGAGCTCGAGCCACAGGGTTCCTTAATACCTCGGGTAGGGGAGCGCGCGAAGCATCCTCCGCCGAGCGCAATACGCGCGGGATGGGATCCGTCGGGAGGCCCACCCGGCCCGCCAATTGGCCAACCAACCGTTGGACCTCCTCGACGGATAAGGGGGTGGCTGGGTCGTTGTTGTTGTTGTTGTTGTTGTTCTTCATGCTGAAAAATAACAAAAAAAAACTACTAACTTTGCTTTTTCATACATGAGACATGAATTTTCCTTGGTGGGGACTGGTCCGTTAAGAACACGCCTTTACCGAGGCGTTCGGTTAATCTCACGGGGCCCCACCACTTCGGTGCAAAACCCGCACAAAATTGTCTATTCGCGTTCGATAAGTGATGCGCTTTATAGTACACAACGTCGCCGACCGCGTATTTTGTTTTGATATGAACGGGCGGCGGTGTTATTTTTGTGCTAGTGATTTGTCGTTCGCGCTCTAACCGGTCGTTATTGATAGTAGCAGGTGCTACCGGTTGTACTCGCTGCAGTAGCCAATCACCCGGTTTCTTACCTTCTCTACCTAATACGAGTACGGACGGTGCGTATCCGGTAGTCTCGTTGCGCCTATTGCGTAGAGCGAACAACAAAGGTGGCAATTTTGTATCCCAAGATGTATGACTCGACTCTGTTAATAAAGCGCGAAGTCCTTTTTTTAACTCTTGGTTCTTTCGTTCTACTGGGTTAGCCCGTGGGTGGTATATCGGTGTAGTCCAGGCCTCTGCCCCCCACCGATTTATCGCGTCGATCATTTCTTTGGACACGAGCGCACGGCCGTTGTCGCTTAAAATTACTCGCGCGTAACCGTAGCGTGAGAAGAACTCCCTTTCTAGCGCGTCTACAATCGTTTTCGTTGTAGGTGCGCCTATGGGGTACGCTTCGGTCCACCTGCTGAAGCAGTCAGTTACTACTAATAGGTTCGTCTTGCCCCTTGGTGTTCTAGGGTACGGTCCCATCAGGTCGATACTGATTACTTCCCACGGCTGTCTGGGTTGGCGCTTGACCATCGGGTCTTCGGGGCGCCTGTTTAAGGGCTTAGTGCACGCGCAAATGTGACACGATTTTACGTACATGCGCACGGCGTTTCTTAACCCTTTACAGTAGAACCGTTGTTTGACCGCTCGGTGCGTTTCTCTCCATCCGGGGTGACATGATAGGGGGTCGTCGTGGTACCGCCAAATTATATGTTGTACTTTGTCGGTGGGGACGACTACCGGTGTGTCAGCGCCTATACGAATACGTAAGATTCCGTCCAACAAAAAAAATTCGTCCTTATTTTCCGCGGCCGGTTTTTCGTTCGCTATCGTAAGTTGCGCGTTTAAATTTTTTATGACCGAAGAGAGAAACTGGTCGTTGTTTTGCCACTCTCGTACTTCCCCCCCCGTGAACGGTCGGTCGCAGATCGCGTCGTTTGCCTCGGTAATGGAATAGATATTATCGAGAGTGGCGGTGGTTGTGGGCGGACTAGACATTGGCGCGCCTAACAAATTGTCGTCTAGGGCGTCTTCGTCAACAGGGGGTCCGTCCGTTGGGTGACGTGACAACATGTCGGGTGCTTCGTTGTGTTTACCCGGTACGTGTGTCGTGGTGAAATTTAGGTTACCCAGGTGTAGCGCCCAGCGGGTCAACTTACTGTTTGTTCCCTTCGCTTTGTGCAGATAAGTTAGCGCTGAATTATCTGTATATAACTCGAAAGGGGCGTACTCTAAGTATGACCTAAATTTATCGGTTGCCCATATGATCGCTAGACATTCGCGCTCGACAGCGGCATAACGTTTTTGCGTATCCGACAGCTTTTTACTCGCGTAAGCGACGATATCCTTTTCCCCCGGTTTTTGTCCGTGTTGAAATAATACCGCCCCTACGCCTAGTTCACTAGCGTCGGTTTGTAGGCAAAAGATCTTTGTGTAGTCGGGGGAGGAAAGGCGTGGTGAGTCGCATATTGCCGATTTAATGTGCTCGAAAGCGTGTTGTTGTGGTTGAGACCACGACCATTTCTCCCCTTTCTTTAACAGGTGGGTGAGGGGATCGATGCTGTCCGCATAGTTGTCGACAAACTGACTATACCAGTTGCATACCCCTAAAAATTTTCGTATATCCCTTACATTGCGTGGGACTGGAATATCGCGTATAGACTGTAATTTTTCCGGCTCTTTGTCTATGCCTAACCCATGCACCCGGTGTCCCAAAAAAGAAATTTCAGAATACCCGATCTTACACTTTTTAGTGTGGCATGTTAGGCCATGACGCATTAGGCGTTCTAGAACCTTGCTAAGGTGGTCTAGATGTGTTTCGACACTGTCCGAAAAAATTAAAATATCGTCCAGATAGACTTGAACGAAGTCGTCGATGTACCCCCTAAGTACTTCGTTCATTAAGCGTACGAAGGTCATGGGTGCATTCTTAAGTCCGAACGGAAGTACACGAAACTGAAATAAGCCCTTTTTCGTTCTGAACGCGGTGTATTCGCGTACGTTTTGCTGTAAAGAGCATTGCCAGTAACCCGATTTTAAATCGAGTGACGTGAAAACTTTCGCCCCCCTCATGCTTCTAATCATTTCGTTTAGATTAGGCATGGGATACGCGTCTGATACGGTCACATCGTTAAGTCGCCTATAGTCGACACATAAGCGATATGAGCCGTCTTTTTTCTTGGCCAGCACGACTGGTGCTGACCAAGGAGAAGTGCTGGGTTCTATGAGCCCTTGTGATTCCATGTCGCTTACCATTTCGTCTATCGCTTGTTGTTTGTGTAGCGGGTACGGATATGGTTTTTGCGCGATAGGCGTCGGGTCTTTTAGAACGATGTTGTGTTCGATAAGCTTTGTGCGACCTACCGTGTCGTTAAAAACTGCAGAATAATTTTTTATCGTGCGCGTTAATAATGCGTGTGTATGTGGGTCGCCTGCTATATCTAGTGTTGAGAGATCTACGTCGGGTAGCGTGTGCTGAGTACTCGCTTTCCAACAAGCTGTAGTGCGTCGCGTCGCGCCCAAGTGAATTGTACATGCAGCGTAGTCCCAGGAGACTTCCTGTTCTGTTAGAAAGTCGTGTCCCAGGAGTACGTCACAGTACAGATTCTCTAAGATAACAGCCGTAAACTTTACTTGTAGATCCGCAATTTTTGTTATAAAAGTGGCTGTGCCGGCCGTGTGTGATGTGTGGCCGTCAGCTAATCTAACTGGAGGTGTTTGTCCGTTGTGCACAATTCCGAATTTGTGAGCTGTTGCTCGAGTGGTATACGATTTTTGCGCTTGAGAGTCAAGTAAGGCCGTCACAAAACCGTTGTCAAATTCCAACTCCACAGCGGGAGTAGTAATTTTACGCGGGCGTGTTTGTGCGGCAGTACTCAAGTGGTTAGCGGTTCGAACGGGGGGCGTTGAAACGGTTTGTTCGCCGGCAGTATTAATTGCCATAAGCGGGTAGGCCGTTCCTGCCGTATTCCCCTCCCCCACGGTGGTCAACATATCGTTGGCCCGACTCGCGCTATAGTCGTTACCTATTAAGTCTACGAACGCGTGACAAGTATTTCGAATAATCTTATGGTCCTCATTGTAGATGAGGGGTGTGATGGTGGTGAGGTGTAGTGCTACAGCGTGCCCACTATAATGACAGTGGGGCTGTAGGGGTGTTGGTGAAGTTGGTGTGAAAGAAGTGTGCATAAGATTATTCAAAATAGAATCATTTTGTTCGCAGGAAGCGCATCCGTTCTTGCTACCCGAGTTGACTGAACGGGCGGTTTGGTTGGCGCGCTGATTAGTGCGATGATGTTTTGAGCGGAATTGCGTTTGTGAGCCCGGAGAATGGACTAGTTTCTCCGTGGCTGTTGTCCGTTTCCCGGCACTGTCGGTCTGTTAGGACATTCGCTTTGCCAGTGATCGGCTCCGCAAAAGCGACAGGGTCGGGGGGGACGCGGATCGGGCGGTGCGTTTGGCCGCGGTCGCGTTCTTTGCGGTTGCTGCGAGGGTGATATGGCAGCCACGTACGGATTAGCGTTATTAATAAGTCTGCCCGTACGTATCGGTCGGTCTAGATCGTTCGCGATTACGCGTAAGTCATCTAAGGTACGCGGACATCGCATTCTTACGTTACCGTAATATTCGTTACGTAACAGACTGACTACCCGATCTACAATGTGCTGCTCAGAGCAACTGGGGCGAGCGCGCATCGCTAGACGTTGTTTATTTATGATAAATTCAGTCATGCGCTGATGTGGCCCCTGTTGCGTCGTCATGAGTTCGTTTTCTAATTCAGCTTGTATGCTGTTGTTATCGAACGTCGTGAGAAATTCCCTCGCAAATTGTCGCCAGGACATGTTGTTTAACTTGATGGTTTCCCACCAAGTTAATGCCATGCCCTTTAAAAATTGTACGCCCGTTTTTACCCATAAATCGCGATCTATGCCTGCTTGGGCCAATAGGTTTTCTACCTGTTCTAGAAACTCGCGTGGGTCCTCCTCATATTTTCCCGTAAACTCGGGGGAAGGGGGTCGTACAATAGGCGAATAATTAAGTGGCCCGATCGCCGTGTGCGTGAGCGAACGGGTCGATGATGATGGGGACAAATCGCGTGTCGGTGGCGCGAATGTGTTCGTCGCGAAGTGCCCCGGTTGGTGTGGGCGCGCGTCTACGTTGTAAACCGCGTCGTGCGTGTTCGCTCGAAGAAGCGATGGTGACGTGCGCGGAGTCTGACTGGCTAATCGCTGTAGGTTAAGCGCTTCGCGCTCCTCGATTTCAGTCAGGCGCTGCTGTAGGGCCGCGTCATTTTGAGTCGTGTTGCTGGGCCCAAAAGTTACGCGGCTCGGTTCGGACAGACGCGCGTAAGTAGAACGGTTGGTTTCCGTCGTTTCTCGCGTCATCTGTGCGGTGGCGAACGGATTACGTATAGTCTCGTTGTGTGTATCGCGGCTTACAATCGTTTGTGAAAGAGATCGTATTTCTTGCGTAATGCGAGACAGTGCTCTCTCCACTTCAGACATGCGCGCATCCATACGTGTATTAAGAGATATATCGCGTAAACTTTGTCTTACTGCGCCTATCTCCTCCGTTGCGTGGGATATTGAACGCACCGTATATAAGTCATCGGTATACGCTGCGTTCACACTACCGTTAGGACGGCCGGTTGCCAGAGACCATTCGTGTAGAGATTCCTCTTCAGGGTCCTCTCGCGCCAGGTTAACCGGTCGGTCCGCGTATGTGGTTGGATCGACGGTCCGGCATAACGCGGGGACTTCGTCGACCTGAGACTCGCGTTCCGTCGAGAGCGTCTCGTAATGAAGCGGCGGGCGTTCGGGCAGAATCGCGTTCGATGGGTCTAGCCCCTCACTGCGTAAACTATTCTCCAAGACTGCCAGCATATCGCTTTTAGTCGTGGGGCCGTTTAACTGCCTATAAGCGCATTCGCGCAATAATTCCCGACGGTTCATTTGAGCGAGAGTTTTACCGGTCATAGTGAACGTTCCTTACGTATTTATCGAAAATAAACAAAAATAAATAAAAGAAACGCACGCGCTTATTTGTTTTTGTTATTTAGAAATACGATATCGCCTATCGCGAGAATACGCACTGTGTGTTCGCGTATGAACGTCAACAATGTCGGCCGTTTGTATTATTATTGTTGTTATTATTGTAGTTGTGATTGCAATAATATTGTGGTATTGCGTTGATAGTGGTATGCTATAGCACTATGATACTAAATAGTATACGGAAATGCGATTATTACGATAGCAGTCGTATAATGATTGTGGAGGTCGGAAATAATAATACAAACGATTTTATGGGACCCGGTTATTAAATGTAACGATCGCTGTGGTATGATAACGCGTATGATCACCCTACCTGCCTAGCGGTTTTATCGAAACACTTAAATGATTGTGTTCGCGGCGTTGTGCGACTCAAGGTCGTCAGTGCGCGTGTATGTATAAATACGAAATCGCCAGAAATCCACTTTTACCGTGTTTAAAAATACACCGAAGGTGGAAATCTACTACTCGCGAGGTAGATAGTATTTATACGACCGGGTGGGAATTTCACTGCTGTCACCAGTGAAGTAGAAGTTAAAAATACCCGTAGTACGGGAAGGTAAGGAAAATTTCGCTGTCTCTTTTAAATAAAATTCAAAATTTATGTAATTAATATAAAATGTCAGCAGTATTTTCTTACCTTATTAAAAAGTTATCCGGTTTTGATCCTATGCCGGGGAGCCATTTGTTAAGGAAAAGATGATGATGAATGAAGTTACACCGGATGAAGTTTTACTTGGCGTCGAGCCGTTTAATAAAAGAAGTGAAAAGAGAGTTGCGACACAAAAATAATATGCGAACAAATGATAAATAATAACACTAGTATTACTGTGAAATAACCGTTGACAAGAAAACAATAAAAGTTAATCGAAACACGGTGGCGTTTTCTGGTTGATCCGGTGGACGGCGTATCACAGTGTCAAAGGTGTCCCGAAACAGACTGACTCGACGTATTATTGCGGCGGGGTATACGACGCTAGGCATTTGTTGGACTTTACACCACGACGATAACGCGTGTGTGTGACGGTCCGGTTTACAGTTAAGCGGTGGCTGAGAAGGAGCTGACACGACCGCGGGGTGTCAACGTGTGACAACGCCGTGGCCGTGTCAATTAATAACATTCAATCGACAACTGACATAACTTATTTCACTTACCATACGCCTATTATAACTTATTTCCTATAGAAAAATAAAATAAATTAATTTCAATTGAAAATAAAAATTTTACGTGTATTTTTTTTCATTTTATCCCAATATAAACTTAATATTCTATCAGTTGAATGACTTTGAATGAAGTTTCACTTCATCCGCGCGTACTCATAACACGCACTTAGTTTTTTTTCTTTTTTTTTCACGACCGGCATAAGTGTGGACCATCCTGGAACTACCGTGAGGTATTACTTCAAAGTGGCCCACGTCGTCTCTAGAACCCATACCAATGCGTTGTGAATCAGTCCAAAATTAATGAAGAGCTGATTCACAACGTGGTGTAGCCTCCCCTATTAGCCATATCCCAAAGTGGGATCCGTTGCCCGGGTTGCACCACGTGAAGGTGAGGGCAGGGCTTTGTGAGGTTTTCCCTATGTGGGAGAACCGACGAGGAAACCAGCGTGACGTCTACCGCCGATCCTTAGGCAGGAGGAGACGGACTCGAGGAGTCCGGCGATCGGCAAGTTGAGCGGCGCGTAGTAGCTCAAGTCGTCAAGTAGTAGTAGTATTAGCGAGGATAGATGGCAATCTATCCTCGCTACTACGTAACCGTCGCCAAACTCGATGTCCGTGACCGTTAGGCTACAGTCCATTACGCCGATCGCCGCTCTGCCGGACCGGTCCAAGAACCAGCCTTCAGAGTCCCGGACCGACCCGGCGTACGGGTCCAAAATGATGCACACGTCAGTGCCCATTTCGTATGCCGCCCGTTGGACCAGGTCCTGGGCAGCCTGACATTGGTTGAAATTCGTTTGAAGGAATCTCATCCATTAGCGGGCTGCGCTTCGGGAAATTCCTCGGCCTTTCCCCGTCTTCTTCACTGGAGAGGCCTGTTTACCAGGCCACCCCTTTGTCTTCGGGGCCTTTAAGACTGGCCCCGCACTCGGACAATCCTTGGCCTGGTGCCCCTCCTTTTTACAGGAGAAGCATCCCTAGGACTTGTCCGGGCACTTGCAGGCCTGTGCCACGTGTCCGTGCTCCAGGCACCTGTAGCACCTCGTACCCCTGTCTCCAAGGATCCTCAGTCTACAGGTGACTCATCCCACACACATACGGGCAAGACCTGCGAGGCGAGGGGTCAGTCTTGCCGTCACCTCCACACGGGCGTACCGCCCCTTACCGCTGGAGTTCACGCGGACCACGACGGCGGCACCTTGCTCTCTGGACGGCGGAGGGCGTCCAGTAGTGCGCTGCGTACGTCGCCCTTCTCCGTCCATTCCTCTATGTCGAGAAGCATGACGGACACTGTCATCCCACATCCGAGTCCCCTGATGCAGTAACCTTCATTCCGTGCTGTTCCATGTTCATTTGTTAAATGATTTTGTGAGGGGGCTTTTATATGGTGAATTTCTGGTAGGATAGGATAGTTTGCGGAATTTTCCATAATCTTCCGATAAAACCAATAGGCCCCTCGCTCCAATGCGGAATCGATGTCGGTGATATCACGGGTATCCTTCAATTACATACGTAACCTTTTCGACCTAAACGCGCTGTTGTTAACCCAACTACGCTTAGTCGCCTGACGAGATGAAACAGATGTAATATTTATTTTTTATGTTTTATTTAGAGCATATGATTTCTTTCAACACTTAATACGACATCTTGATATTGACTAAACATATATCAATATGAGTCGTCTTTTTATACTCGCGTCATTTTTATGAACACATCAAGACCGCATCGATATCGGCCATTGTTGAGGTCATCATCTTTGGCTATAATAATGAAACTATACCGTTCCACATGTAACTGTGTCGGATGCCATGCGGTTAGACATGCTCAAAATCCTGGAAACTTTAACACCGCTTCAAATACACTTCGAAGTTGGGATCTATATGAAATTCCCAGCATACCAATTAGTAAAAGACAAGCCTAGATTGTGAAAACTTCATCACAGACTGAAAACCCCAGATTTGTTATTGTAGCTTTTCAAGTTGATAGAAAAAACAAAATAAACAAAGATAGTAATAGATTTGATCATTGTTCGTTATCATCTATAAAAGTATACTTGAACTCGTAATCGTACCCCTATGACAACTTGCGGATAGATTTTCCGAATAATAAGTATGCTATACCATAACATATGTGCGCCCAATTCCAAGAGGTATTCTATGAAAAGGAGATGGCGTAACCTATGCTGACAAAAACAGAATTCAAGACAACTGCTCCACTCATTGCCATTGACTGTTAAAGGAAAAACGAAAAATTAAAACATGCGCCAGTATATATTAGATTAGAATTTGTTTTTTTCTAAAAATTATGTAAAATTTTATATTAATAAAATACTAATGATAAGTTAAATATATATTTTTACTATTAAAAAATGTGTTACTTATTTAAGTACCGTATCCTTATCTTAACAAATAACATAAATAAATTCAAATGAAATTTACTTTTAAAATAAAACACAAATATATTATTAAATTCAAAATATGTATTCCCATTTAAAAAAGTTAACACCATATAAGCCATAAGGGATCAACTTAAAAAATATCACATAGCTATTAATTCAAGATTAATATGTAACTAAAGGTAACCAAAAAAATAATGTTTAAATTCTTTTCATTTTATAAGTAAAATTTATATTTTTGGTGAAAAAGACTTAAATAAAGCAACAGATTTTTGTGATAATAAGTTTAACGATAAGAATAGATTAACATTATAAATTGCACAGCAGCTTTTTGCTTAATTTAATTTACTTAAAAATAAGTTTTATTTTAATTAATTACATTTTTTTAAATTACTTATATTATAATAAATATCACTAAATTGAAAAAAAATTGAGTGGTTTCAAAAAGATATTATTTGTATTACTGTCGTTACTACGGAAAACAATAAACATTTAAAATACTATTAGAGTAATTTATTTATTTTTTTACAATCTCACTGAAATATATAAGAAAAAAAAAGTAAGTTTAATATAATTAAAAATTTTTTTTAGAAACATTAATTTTTAATTTTATTATAATATTCGGTTATTTTATCAGGTAGGCCACTTTTACCAAGAACTATAAAAAATAAGAAACGAAACTTTAAGTAAAATTTCAACAAAATGCAACTAGTCTAGAAAAATCTAAATACTTCAAACATTATTGGTAAATTAAATTCAGCCCTGGTGAATAATTCATTATTAATTATTAATATTAATGTTATTAATTTTTGTATATTCATCATTATACATATTATTATGTTGTGATACTATAAAAAAACAAATATTATCCACATTTAAAGAAAGATTAATTAGTTAAATATAAAGTCAAGATTTATAATTGAGTTATTTAAATGAGAAAAATATATTAAAAATAATAATACTTATTTTATAAATATGCTAAGAAAAAAAAACAGGAACTAATTGGTATAAAACATTATATTGGACAGAACAAATAATATTGTTTCATAATTCAAATTCAAACATCTAAACAAATTGAATTTTACTTACAACTTCACAAAAATATTTTGAGTAATAAAAAAAATAGTATCGCTTAGGATTCGAAATTTTAATTTTAAAATAGAAATGATAATTTTAATTTTTGATTTTAATAATCCCAATATATACTTAAGCATCGATGCGAAGCTAAGATGCTATTAATTTTATCATGATGTATTTATTTTTTTATTTTTGTGTCTGTCACAACTTTTTCTCAGCTCTTACTAGACCAATTTTTCTCAACGATATGTTAATGATCACAAATCTTATCTAGTTGAAGACATTATCCTCAAAAATTGAAAATTTTGCCATCGTTCCCCGTTAATATTGAAAATTCCCCAAAAAATTACAATTTTTAAAATAGGTAAATTTCGACATTTATTTCATATTTTTTTCCTAAAAATTGACATAACTTATTGAAAAATAAAATACATCACATCCTAAAATAAAATAGCAACTTCTGCACAAAAATTAAACTTTTGAAAATGTTCCGAAAATATTCCGAGCTTCAAACATATGTTAAACTAAAGATAATGTTATGCACTATAGGTTAAAAAAAAAAAAAACCCAGCACAGGGGGGTCGCGGCACAGTGATGACGTAGCATAGATGGATCAAGTATAATGATATCTGACAGTGATTAAAATCACTATAAAAAAAAAACGCCTTGATGCAAATCTTTAGATAGTGTTTAATTTTAAAAAATTGGTGGATTATTCCAAAAGCTATATGATCTGCTAGTTCATTATTAATATCCTAATTAAGATAAAGTATGTCGAATGAAAAAGGGTTTATTAAAAAATATTATTTCTCATAAAAAAATTGTGTGGATCCATAAACTTTTCAATAAGTTATAGCATTATAAAGTTAAATATTATATAAATAATAAAATCGAGAATTTTCACACAATAATAGCATTTGATAGCCATTTTCACCGTGAAGATAAAATAAAGTCCGAAATTTTTTTTTTTGCATAATAAACTAAATTACATTAGCTTTAATTTAAGATATATATAAAAGTGTCAGACCTTCCGGAACACTTTCAAAATTTAAGTTGAAAAAGTCAATTTTTTGTGAAAAATTTGTCATTTTGAATCCCCCCCTGTAAGAAGGTAAAAAGTCAGATTTATAAAAAAAATATACCAAATGATAGGTAAAGACATCATGCATCTATAAAAAAAAGAATTATATTGATATGTTTATTTTTAAAAAAGTTATGATAGTTCTTAGTAAAAAAAATTGAAAAAATTTCGAAAATTAGCCATTTTTAAATTTGTAATTTTTTCG